TGAGCCCTATTTGGATCAGCAAGCTCCTGTGGAAAGTTGGTCTGGATGAGAGGGGTTATTGAAGATGAATGGAAATTCCTTCATAGTGTGTCAAGCAAAGTGCTGTTATACAAGGCTACAGGGAGGCAGCTGAACGGAGCAGGTTGTGAAGAATTTCTTGAGGTCGTTTGGGGAACTTCCTTTCAGCAGCGACTAGCCCACGGTCATCCTTGCTTGTAAAAGCACCATACCTGTCAGGGGAAAACTTAGATAACAGAGGAGTTAAGAGAACCTTTCGGAACAGAAGAGAGAATTATCCTGGCCCAGAATTGCCTCCAAGTTTTCTTGGAAGAGCTTGTAATAGTGTGCGTGATGGTATGTGTCAGGCAGCAATAGGGGCACAATGACAGGTCACTGGGCTGTGGTCTCTGGTCCGCAGAGCCTTGTTTTTAATAACCTCCCTCCTTTGTAGATAGCCCTGCTGTAGGTAGCAAGCTGTGGCTAACCCCTCTACGTGGTTTGTGCAACTGACACAGGATTGCATCAGATGCATCTAGAGCGGGGACCAGAGATCAGAAATCCTCCAGGCACTCTTGAGACCTGCTCCCGGTCAAAAGGTTTGCAGTGTTGTTGTGTTGTGGTGCACAGGCGAATGGGGAAGCTGTCCCGTTTGTGAGTAAATGCCCTGCTTGGGAAAGGTGCTGGGGTAACGTCTCCAGCAATGTAAAGTTCTCGCTCCATGGAATGGAGACAGCACAAACCCTTCCCCACTCCCAGTGTGTTCCTCTTAGGGCTAGCCTCTCTCTCAGGGATCAGAGAAGAGAGCAGTCCAGTCCGTTCCTGGGCCTCTCTCCGGTTTCTGTGCGGTGGACACTTGCCTGTGCTGAGACTGTCAGCCTCATCTCCTGCAAACTGTCATCAAAAGGCTCCAAACCAGCTGGCTGAAGCTCAGACAAAGTGACCTAGCACTCATGAGACTCCACATCACTGCTCCAGTCTCTTGAGCCACCCACAGCCTCGGTGGGAGGGTGAGAGAGAGAGAGATTTTTATTGGCTGTTGCGGGTCCAGGCTCTAACAGATTTTCCCTTGAAGCCCCGCCATACAGAAGGAAGTGCCTGATAATATGTAGGATAAACCTTGTAAAATAAACCAGGACTTATTGTGGCACCACTGGGAGCGTGAGCCCTAGCAGGATTACCCCTCGCTCACGTCAGCGCTGCTCCTGGTTTGCAAAGGCTGCTTGTGAAGGCTGATTGCAGAGGTTTTCATTAGAGATGCTGAATGGTTTTTTCCAGCGATGTCATCAGTGAACCCTGTGATGTAATTTGCTAGGCAGGACGGTGGGCTGCTTGCTGTGGTGTCAGGAGGAAATAGTGCTCCAATGCACTGCGCTGCATCAGAATCGGCTGGTTCGCTGTTCTTCGGCAGAGTTGAGAGGGAGGTCAACAGATACCTTTTTATAGCACTCTCGTAACTGCAGAAGCAAGATCAGCATATTAATTTGGTGTGTGCCTCTAGATCTGTGCCTGGAGGGAGAGGAAGCTTTTTCCCCGGCCCCTGTTATAAGCTGCTGCAGTTGTATAGCAACAACAATTAGCTACAAAAACTAACGAACCTCTGTTGCTGTAGAATAAACACGGCCGTTAATCATAGAAATCAGAACTAGGAAAGATCTCTTCGGTGGCGGAGTCCACCTCCCTGCCATGCAGCATTGCTCACTACAGTACGTCTTCCTAGTGCACCGTCAAGTCCAATTTAAAATGCCCCGAGCATTGGAGCGGTCCCTTTCCTCAGGAGATTAACATGCCGCTTAATAGATTTCACTGTCGTTTTCCCAGACATTTAGCCGAAATTTTTCCAGCTTCAGTTCAATCCCATTACTCCCTAGTTATACCCCATGTTACCCTCTGAATAGTTACATCTCCCTCCTGTCTGGCTACACTTTTCTTGTATCTATAGACACCTCTCTCCCTGCTCCCCCCCCACCCCCCGCATCATTTAGCCAAACCTCACACATTTAGCTTGGATAAGTCGTTCTTTCCAGTCTCCCAGTTAATTTGCACCTCTCTGAAAGCCACCTAGTTTGTTTAGATCTCTCTAAAGTGATGGCAAGAACTGAATGTAATACGCTCTGCTCGTTGGGGCCCTGGGTGCCTGGGACCCGTGTAACGAACGCGTGCTGAGGACCTGTGGGGTGGGCCGTCATTACGCGCGGCTCATGAGACGCCTAATGGTCTCGGACGCTATCCGCTGGTCCCGGGACATTTACATCGAGCACATCACCGGCCACCGCCAATACCAAGAGTGAGCCGGGGAGACCTCGTGCACCCACACACACCCCCTGCTGGACCCTATCCCCTGAGCCCTAAACCCACCAAACCTAGCTGAATCCCGCCACGTGAGGGTCACCCCATCCCCATTACCCAGCCCGCTTACTTATACCCATGACTGTCTCTACCTCCCGTATGGGTGATAGACCCTCACCGTTTATCGACTGTGTCCTGATCCCGCCCACCGGTTACCCACCCCTCATTGGGGACATTGCAGTATGTATATACTATGTGTGCTGCCCAGCCCCAAAACACCAACATACCCCCATACTCTGTATGTTACCCCCAATGACCAATAACTAACGCTTCAAATTTCTGTATCGTTTATTTCTTTTAAATATTCCCTCTGCCTCTCAGCCTTCAAACCTGCCAGCATGTGATGTCTGCAATCGGTGTATGACAACAGACCATAATGTGGAGCTATTTGTATTTATGGGTCATTTACAAGGTGTAATGGTTTTAACTAATCCCTGCTTTTAAAAGATCTTTTCTCACTGTGTGAATTAAATATACACCCTTTTTAAACAACAACAACAAAAAAGACGTGGAAAAAACAAATTCTGTCACATGCAAATCTCATGTTTTTCTCTGCTCTCCGGGGACCCTCCCAACTGCTCCAAAATAATTTTCAGTTGTTCAGAACGCTGACCTCATTTCCTTAACGCTCTAGTTTGCATGTCTTCCAAACCAGCTGATTGGTGTGTTCAGATTTCCCATCACCCCCTCCTCTCCTTTATCAACAGCTATTTCTCCTGGTATTAGTTTTATTTCTAAATAGGCCCTACAGAACACATGGATATTTTATTCTGCAGACAAAACACAGAGGTCTTTAATTTTGCATCTGTGGATTAATCTGGTTCACCACTGGCTACGAATCCTCTGACTGGTCACCTAACTGAAATCCAAACGCAGTGGGTGAACCATTAATCTGATTTCCTCAGGATCTTCAGGGAGTGAGGTGCTCAATTCCTATTGACATTCAAGGGTCTTTACATATCCCAGCTACAGCCCATAACAAGATGTTATACATTTTCCGGTCAATACTGTCTATCCAATGCCTGGGTTAGGATTCACCTATTCCAAGGAATTGTGGTTATCTGCCAAACTCTGTTCCAGCGACATTGCGTGGTGTGGGTAGAGAGCGGGAGAGGGAGAAATAAAAGGCCAGAGCCAGACTCCTGACCTCAGTTATGACCATACGTTTTCCTGGACCTCTGGTTTGCCCCTACTATTGCCATACGCCTCATCAAGAAGAAAATTCAAGTGCAGTCACTCTCCTGGTGAGCAAAGAGCAGTCAGTCCTACGTAGAATGGCTTCTTGTAGTGCTAAGAGGCAATTGTGTGCATCTCTTCCGCTGTGGGAGTTTAAGGGGGCTGTTGGCGATTAAACGTTTCACCCATTGATTGCCCTCCCCCAGTTGCTATAACGCAGACCCTGTTCCTTCCAGTTCAGTGCAGAGCTGTCGGCTCAGCCAGCCACCGCCATGGTGACATTCACACAGCTTTCCCCAGGGTAAAGCCACTAAACACCAAGGAATTCAGGCGTTGCTGCAAACGGGTGTTAAATGTCCCCTTACCCTGGAGTAATCTGCACTGTTGGTCTTGTGTGTGTGTGTGTGTGTGTGTGAGAAGCACAGGAGGTGTCAAGGGTTAAAAGGCGAGGCAGCTGGAAGTGCGGTAGATGTGGGTAGTGAGGCGAGAGTGGGGGATCTGGGTTGTGTTCCCGATCCCGGCACTGACGTGCTGTGTGACCTCCGGCAAGTCACTTAGCCATTGGGCTTCAGTGTCCCCATTTGCAAAATGCAGCCTTGTGAGGCACGCTGAGGTAATCTGACGAACGCGGCAATATACGTGCTAAGCAGCGTTAGCAAGGTGTTGCCGAGACACGTCCGAGTGCAGTGTAAAAGGGAGTGTCCAGAGTTAGTGGCTGACCGAATATGAACCGGCAAATGGAGCCTGTGCCCAAACCCCACCTCCATGCTGCAACAAAGAAATTACATTCGATGCAGGAGAAAGGGAGAGGGGACGTTGGAGACAGGAGACCAGCTTCAGGCTGTGGAGTATTCAGAGCGTGGCTAGACTGAGAAAAGAGAAACCAAGGAATCTGTGTGGAGGGGAGTGGCGGGGAGGGGAGGACAGGGAGGTGGAAAGGGGAGTGTGAGCCTAGCTAGGGGGAGGCCGGCTGAGATCGTAGAACACACAGGTTGGGTGGGGAAAGGGCCAGGTTACAAATAGGAGGGAGGGGACATACATGGAAGGGTAAAAAGCCCATCTGTGGACTGGGGCGTGAAATGACAGAGTGCCTGCATGCAGCCAGAATAGATTAGCATTGTGGGGGGAGTGATGGGAAATGAGGGCGGAATAAGAAATGAGCGTGAGGCCGCTGGCGGTGAGCCCACAGCGGCTGGCACAGTGAAGTGCCCACGGGAGGGGAGTGAGACCTGATGAAGGAGCAGGCTGGGTGCGCTCCTTGTCTGTAACTGCGGAGAGATGTTCTTTCAGGCTCAGCAGTATCTCTCCACATACCCCAGTGTGCACAGCTGGCCTTCGCCTCCAGGCAGGGCCGTTAAAGATCACCACCCCTAGAAAGGCACGAACCCCCGAGGACGATGGCTTGGAGACTCCTGTCCCTGTCCATCCCCAGCAGGCTACAGAAAATGCCCTAATTCTCCTGTTTCTTTTCCTGCCAGGTGGCTGTGAAAAACAGCATCGACGTCTTCTACTTCAGCTGCCTTATTCCTCTCAATGTGCTTTTTGTGGAGGACGGCAAAATGGGTGAGTACTGTTTGGTCAGCGTCCCTCTGCTCTTTGGGCAGGCAGAGTACAACATCCTGACAAAGCACAGCTTGATGCAAGTCCCTCCGTAGCAGGGTTGTGAGTTCAGTCCTTGAGGGGGCCATTTAGGGATCGAGGGCAAAAATCTGTCTGGGGATTGGTCCTGCTTTGAGCAGGGAGTTGGACTAGATGACCTCCTGAGGTCCCTTCCAACAACCCTGATATTCTGGGAGGGAGGGATAGCTCAGTGGTTTGAGCATTGGCCTGCTAAACCCAGGGTTGTGAGTTCAATCCTTGAGGGGGCCATTTAGGGAACTGAGGTAAAAAACTGTCTGGGGATTGGTCCTGCTTTGAGCAGGGGGTTGGACTAGATGACCTCCTGAGGTCCCTTCCAACCCAGATATTCTTAAAAAAAACCCTTCTTCACATTCTCTCCTGTTCAATAGCCTGCTTTTACATCAAAGGCGGAGAAGATTCTTGGAAAACAGAATCATGACTGGCTTCTACGTTTGGCCTTTTTGCTGATGGGAAAGGGAAATCCTGCATGATGTGGTTCTTGTATTTGGGGTCTCTTCCTAACAAACCCCACCTGCCCTTACTCGTGAAAGTCTGCTGCAGCAAAGACATGGGGAACAGATCCACATGGTCTTCAAGACTTTGCTGTTTTCAGTCAAACTAGACTGGACAAACTGCTAGCCAATGTGTTGTAGGGAAAACTCTTGAACTAGACCCCGAGGGATGGACTAGATGGGACCAGGCAGGTCTCTTCTATCTCTGCAGCATGTCCTTCTGCAGTGACTCTTGGGACCAGCAATGTGGGTAGTTCAGAGAACCAGGAGGGCGGGACACTGACCATTGTCTTTCCTGTATGTAGAACGCCAGGTCTTCCTTGCCACGTGGAAGGATATTCCAAATGAAAACGAGCTTCAGTTCCAGATTAAAGAGTGTCACTTGAATGCTGGTGAGTAACTTGGTTCTGGACCGCAGCGAGCCCTCATGTAATGCACAGGAGTGACAGAGACTCAGTAGAGCTTTTCTGGTCATTAGCATTGTGTATCAACAATGCTGACAAATCAGGATTGCAGGTACAGGCTGAGCAGTTCCAAATTCTAGCCCCAAGGATAAACTTTGAGCTGAATTCCATAAAAGGAGGTTCCCCAGTGAATGTCTCTGAAAACAGTTCCCTCCCTAGGATTTCACCCGTTCCCTTTTTCCTTCCGTTACAGTTCTTACATTCTCCCTTTCCTGTTTATTTGCCTTCCTTGTCATGGTGTCTCTGAGCAGTGAGATTTGATTTCAAATCCTTCCTGCTAGTCACTGTGGTTTGTACCTAACCCACATCACAGAAATGTCATATTGGTTCCAAGTTGTTGTCTTTCACTGGGATCCCGGAGGCTTGTTACCTGTAGGGGCAGCTATGGCTGAGTGGGTTGAGAACAAGACTAGGAGTGAGGGAATGTGGGAGGTAGAGGTGCCACTAACTTGCTGTGCCACCTTGGATGAGTCACTTGTCCCTCCTGTGTCTGTTTCCCCATCTGCAAGAAGTGGCTGAGTGGTTAGAGCACTGGACTGGGACTCAGAAGACCTGAGTTCTGTTCCCCGCTGCATGACTTTGGACAGATTACTTCAGTTTCCCCATCTGTACAAAGGAATGATGATACTGAGCTCCTTTGTAAAGTGCTCCGAGCTCTCCTGATGAAAAGCCCTACAGGAGAGCTTTTTGCCACCGAACGATGAGGGAGTACATGGCTGGTAGAGCTGCATTGTTCCCGTTTGAGAGACCTGGATGGGAACCAAGTGCTTGTAACTAAAGCTAGTATGTTTTACAGAGAGGTGTGTCCCTCCTGATGACAAACTCCTGGTACTTTCTCTCCCGCCTGCCATCACGCAGGGATAACACTCCTCTCACTTCAGTCACAGGCAGATACCACCGCCTGCCCTTGTAGCCCTGATTTTTTTTCTATTTTGGACCACAAAAGATGTGACGCAAATAGCAGCCGTTGGACCTTATGACTTGATTCTGTTCCTGGGATTCTGGCGAGGGCAGCCTCTCAGCCACTCCCTTCGTTCCAGCCTCTCAAACGGCACACGGACATTTCCACCTCATTGGAAATTCTGCCCTGTAATCCATCACACCCTTCTCCTTCCACCGTCATCCATTAGCCACCCTGTCTGTCGCGCTCCGCGGCACAGAAGGAAGGTTTCGTTCTTGTGATGGACAATTTGTCAGGTTTTTAAAATCCTGCCCCTCTCCCCTTGGGCCTAGATTCTAAATGTTAAGTCTCAGCAGGTGGCTTTATTTCTGACGAGACTTCCAGAAACTAGTTTTTACCCTCTATCAACCATAGCTGCAGTGGATCTGTCTGCCTGGGAGGAATACGTAGTTTAATTCCTGGTTACTTGACGTACATCAACGGGACGTCAGGTCCATTTTGCGGTCATCACACTGGCCAATGCTAAGGACTCTGTAATGCCTCTAATTGTAGGATTATTCTACTGGCAAGGTTTCTGCTTGACCCTTGGTTGCAATTAGCCTATGCACTGCAGTGCCTTCTCCACTTTACCCACCTGTTCCCCTTTGCCGAGAGTCATTAAAGGTTGCAGAGTAATTGGCAGCATTCCCTGTTCGGCTGCTTTACCAGCCATGTGCCAGACCTTGTGCCTGGGCTTGCTTAGAATTGTAATGAAGCCCAGCTCTCAGCGGAGGGGCACGCAGGAGCACTCCAGTCCCGTTCGATTTCTGCGCGGTTGCACTCCATGTGAGTAATAACATTGCTCTATTGCAGAGTTATCTGCAGCCATCACCAGGGCTCAGAGAGAGGAAGCTCCTGTCAGTCTTTTAGCGAGAGCTTTGGAAGCGGTGCCTGTTTGAGTGTGATCCATCGCTAGGGAGGCTACAGAGTGTGCAGTATCTGCCAGCCTCCTATGCGTGTTTAAGGAGGAAAATGGGTCATGTCTGATCAACAGCCTTCAAATGCTTTTATCAGCTGACGCCTCAGTTCTCGTCTTCGGAGCCGATGCCTCGTCCCTGCTGCAATTACAGGAGCCATTTTCTGCCCTGACCACCTGGATCGTAGAGCCAAGCAGGCTGAGAGCTAGTGGGTGCGGAAGGCTGAGAGCTTGGCGTGGAATAACAGGTGTTAGGCTGTGGCTACCCCGGTGCAGACTTGATGCACGTGCAGCACGATTTGTACCCTTGCAATTTCAAACTGGTGCAAACCACACGGCGCTGGTGTAAATCTTGTCTACGCTAAGGGTTTGCACTGGTGGTCCTGGCTAAAAACCTAGTGTAGACCAGGCCTTACTGTAGGCTACCTCTGGCCATCATCCTATCTTCCCTCTGAGGTTAGTGAATTGCAATGCTGAAGTCGGTGTGTACTTGCCCTGGGGGTGTGGATTAAACAATCTACCTCCGTTATCGTGGCCTTTTTCTCGAAGAGACCCCAGCAGCAGATTAAAGCTTTCATTGTAAATTTCAGCTCTCCCATGTTCGTTATGAGGCATCTGAACAGTGCAGCTGTGTAACTTTCATACCCTTGGCACAGACGGGGACAGACCTGCTCTAGGGACCTGGGCCTAGCTTTCAGCTGTGCCAGGGCAGCAGTTGCCATGAACAAAGCTTGTGAATTTCAGTGCCTGTTGACTATGAGTCAAAATGTGCTGCGATGCTGCTCTTCAGCACAGATCACTGCTTCCCACAGCTGCTCGTTTTCGATAGGTGTCCATGTAAATCGATACGAATCCCACGAGACCCACTTAAATAGCTAATTCCTGAATCCACACTGTGGTGTGATCTCTTCCAGGTTTTAACGACCACATTCATTCTCCAGTCTAGCTGATTTCCGGTTCAACAACATGAATTGAGCTGTGAGCTAAAAATACCTCCATTTCCCAGCTGATCTGCCATAATCACAGCGGAACCGGTTATTTAAATAGAGCAGCAGAGCTATAGCAGGCATTTGACAGATGGAGCGAACACACCGACAATTGTGCATAGGCCCCTGAGGAGCTGAGGCGGGGGCTGATCAAAACAGTCTTCCCTCCATCCGTGCGCGCTGCCTGGCGTTCTGTCTCCTCGCCGTGAAGACCCTTCACTTCCATCTTTGTGAATGTTTAAATCTTACAAACGCCAGTACAGCACCTAGAGAGGGAGACAGATGATACCAGAAGCCCTGCCATCCAGCTGAGTGAGGAATGCTGATTTCTGTAAGGGGATATTTAAATTACAAATACATCTCTTTACAGCAGAGATCGGTTTTTTACTGAGTCAGGGATGCCGCTTGCTAATTTCTTGTCTGGCTCTGTGCTCTACAGTGCTGTACATCTAGGATTGTGTGTCTGTCACTGGGCAGCAGTCAGATTTCAAAGCACCTTTAGCCTAATAACTGGTTATTTATCCTTTCCTTTAAATAAAAGGCAGATCGAAACACAAACATAAAGACATTTCAAATGTTACTGAATCTGTGGGCAAAATGTACTGGAAGGAGCAATCCTACGCGTGTCTCCCCCGGATGGACTAGATGTGACTTTGTCCCTTGAATCTCCAATTTTTAAAGGTGGTTAGGTGAGGCTGCAGTCAGCGCTTCAACACCTCACGGGTCTAGGAGCCTATGCCTCATTTTCAAAAAGCGATTTAGGCTCCTAAATCAGTTAGGCGTTGCAATGCTGAGTGCAGCAACATCTACATACTTTTTAAAATCTGGGCCTATGCCCGCAATCCCACAAGTGACTACAATGCCCTCATGAGTCCCATTGCAATCAGTGGGTCTTGCTGCAGTGGCTTGCAGATTTGGGCCAGTGTGTGAATACATAGACTCATCTACTATTTAAGAACAGGAGTACTTGTGGCACCTTAGAGACTAACAAATTTATTAGAGCATAAGCTTTCGTGGACTCGTTGCATCCGAAGAAGTGGGCTGTAGTCCACGAAAGCTTATGCTCTAATAAATTTGTTAGTCTCTAAGGTGCCACGAGTACTCCTGTTCTTCTTACGGATACAGACTAACACGGCTGCTACTCTGAAACCTACTATTTAAGGTATACCTATGGGCGCATTTTATATTTTAAATACATTCAGGTTCTGCTCATGTATCTGAGGCCATAGGGAAACAGTTATGATATTTTAGCGGAGAAACCATGTGATCATGTAATTAAAGATTGTCGTCATGGATATACACAAAGGGTCAGAGTTAAGATTAAAGGTACAACCTCCATTTTCTCATATCCTGGCTTTTATGCTAATTTAAGACTTTGGTACCTTGATTATTCTGCTCACGTGAAAAGGCAGGGAAAATCCAGTTAAAAAGCGAGAAGAGCTTAAAAAACTGAGACCTCCAGAGCAGTGAGGGGCAAAGTTTAGAAACTCCACTGGCATAGAAAGATTTCAATACAGAGTCCTGTTCTGCACTGAAATTCTTACTCATGAGATGTCGGAGCTGCCATCTGGATATGCTATTAAACAGGTTCATAGCTCCCAACATCAGTCAGCGTTCCTGCCGTGCGTGTGCGATACCAAATTCATAAATGTATTTAGCTTGGGTAATTTTTTGCAAAATGCACATTCTCCTCCCCTACCTAATGCATGTTAAAATACAATTTTCCTTTTTCACACTAGAATTTCTTAAAACATGTTAGTTAAAAGATGTTAATAGATTTTTAAGGCCAAAAGGGGCTATATATTATCATCTAGTCCGACTGCCAGCATATTTTAGCTAATACATTTTAAAAGCGCACCTTGTACCCTAGTCCAGACAAGCCCTTCAAATAAAACAAGAGCCGTATTGTCTGTCGGTGTGTCACAGAATCATAAAAATGTAGGGGTGGAAGAGGTTATTTAGTCCATCCCCCAGTGCTGAGGCAGGACCAAGGAAACCTAGACCATCCCTGGCAGGTGTGTGTCCAACCTGTTCTTAAAACCCTTCCACGATGGGAATTCCGTGTGTGTGTGTGTGTGTGTGTGTG